AAAATCGACTTGTAGTAAAGATCGACATACTTCGAGCAACAAAATCGTGGCGATTCGTAGTCGTCGCAGTGCTAGAAATAGCGAAAAAATGAACTGAATTGCTGATCACTCTTCGTGGGCATGCTTTCGCGACTGAGTGCACTTGCTTTGTTTCAAATCCACGGACCTCAAATTCGTCTCTTCGGCATGATCGCCACCAAAAAGGCGTAATTTGATGAATGATAGAATTTGTTCAAAGTTTAAGCTGGATGTATGTGATGTATGGGAATCAAACCTTAGGAGTTGCTCAACTTTGCATAGTTGACTCATTCGGCGTGCTGAGCGCCCATATCATGACTCGTAAGAATGATGAAGCCGTATGACAGCGATGAAGGTGGAAGTCTCATTTAGTATTACATCTACGAAACACACAAAGTCCTGTTTGCCAAATTTGTCAATACCACTCGTTCACCCTGCTGAAATCCCAACCACACTCTAATCCACCACAACGTGCCTATCGTAACCTCCATAAAATAGCCTTGCAGTGCCACGTGCGTGCGTTTGATTGTGATGAGCATATCAAATTTCCCACATGCATGATGAGAAAAAAGTCAAAAACTTTAATATTGACTCCTTTGACTAGTCTCTGAACTATCTGCCACAAAACCTTCTCAATCAACAAAGAAACTTCCAAGTAATTGTTCAGAAGAATAATTTCAGCGATATGGTCACGTCGCTGGCCCAAATCAGCAACGCGTCATCGCTGAAATTTGGTCATGTCGCGGCAAATTTGGTGAGTTTGTGTTTTAGCAAAGTGGGTCAGCGATCGGCTGCGTCGAAAAAGTAGTACACAGTACCGACATGCATGATGATCGACATGCAATGGACTCAATTGTCTTGTTGTTCAGGCCTTGGCCAGCCCTCATGCGATTTTAACGGGCCATACTATCTGGCATTCGCCACAAGTAAATCCATCACGGGCAAACTGCAAACACATAGTTTGTATAACTTTCGTAGATTGGTAAAATGTCCTATTCCCTGCCCATATATAGCGCATTCGAGAAAACGTGACGACGGCGCAACCGCGCGCGACACGCACGCACTTCTATTTCTTGGTTTCTGTCTTTACTCGAATGGTTTTTCTGCTTACGTATGATCGTAATCAGACACTGGAAGTAACTGGCTGGCTTTTAAGTTGATGCCTGATTTTATGGGTGTTTTATGCTCCAGTGTGCGCAAAGACCGCAGTCAAACTCGTCGTCACGATTTTAAGAATGGACCACAGAATGCGCGCACGATGAGTCACAGTAGGAGAATTGCTAAGCGTTGCGAATGAAATCGTGTGAGGTATGACCAAGGCTTTACAAACTACCAAAAGCAACGCAAGCATCCACTTGATGCTCACTTTCACCACTATCATGACTTATAATAACGGGCTGAGGATGTTTACGTGACTTTGTGTGTGTGTGTGTCTGTTACGAAATTCGTGGAGCGTGTTCCAGGCAGCGTTCTAATCCCAAATTTTGTATAGCGCATGCTACCTTTATGAAAGTCCAACATGCAAAGGCACGACTAGATTCGTTGAGTGGATCTCTCAGAAATTGCGCGCCAAACGGGTCCACCTGGCTTCTGTACCGCAAAATTCGGTCCGTATCACCACTTTTTGCAGAGTCGTGGATGAGTTTGGTAAGCAAATGTGCAAGCGATGGAGTTAGCCAGAAAAGTGGTCGAAAGTTTACTACATAACGAAAATGGCGCCAAAACGAATTGGTTGTGTAAATGGTCAATTTGCCAAGGTTCTAGCTAAGCGTTTGAGAAGATTTTCGCACAGAGATGTAGCTCACGGTTATCATTACTTTTATGGCGACTACCAAGTCATGACAAATCCAAAAACCTATTCAAATTTGCGTTTGTCTTCCTGCGAAAAGTTTCATCCACGCGAAAAGACTTTCTAAATGAGTGGTTGTTTACATTTTATTCGTGGTTCTAGTCGGCATAGCGCGGTGAGTTCCAGTGCCACGATTTTACGAGAAAGAGTAAGGCACATAGAATTGCGAACCTCTGCGAAGCAGAGGTGACGCACTGGTCTTATATATCCATGGAAATATTTCGAGTTCAGGCCCTGCCAAACTAATTAACTGGGGTAATTCCCTCCTACCCACTTGGAAATTCAAGTCCTGCCTCTTTACAGCCGAACTGGACCAAGGCATATTCTGCGCTGTCAAAATGCAACCCACCGATAAATCGTGTTGTTCGCAGCGGAAGAATTTGGAAAAGTTCGCCAATTATGAGTTGCTTAAGAAGCTTACGGAAATTGCTGATCAAAAAAGATGCTTCGATCTTTAACATCGCAGCATAGAATACAGTAGCCCTTTTGCGAAATGTTAAAACCACAATTATTTTTCAAAACTTGTATTGGGATTTCTGCCGCGATAGTATATGAGTTTGTTATTTGCTATAGTGACTTCTTTCTCTTTGCACGAGGTGCAATCAAATTTCGGATCATGTAGACTTAGAAGTGGGCTATAATTCTGCGAAGACTTTTTGATTTTTTATGACAAAATGGAAAAAACATACGCATTTCAAAAGCGGTCAAAATCGATTTTTCAAGGTAGAGAATGGATCAACTAAATTCAGCCGGAACTGTAGGCAAAATGTTCTTAAAGGTTAGCCATTGAGCTCAGTGAAGAAAAATTTGGAAGTTAAGGTCAAATCGAGATTCGGCGATCTTGTGACGAACGAGTCGAATGCGTCAAAATCGCCGGGGAAACCATCAAAGCGGAACCGTCGGATTTTGGCGAAACTTTGCACACGTGGTAATAAGACATGCTGAATACAAATATCTTATTCACTCAGATAATAGCCGGGGGCAGGCGGCCATGCTATTTATGGGCGAGCGGGCACCGGAAAAATAGTTCGCTGATTTCTTGCGGTCCGCTTTCGGATATTTGAAAGAATTTTAGCGAAATTTTGGACGAATGTTTGGAGAACAATCGCGGTTTCCCTATAGATTAATTGCGGCGCAGTGGCCGCATTCTCGCGGACTTTCCGCAAAAATATGCAAAATTTTGCATATTGCAAACCGCACGGTCCTTTGTGGAGGACCGCGCAGCCCCCAGGTACTTTCCGCTGAGAGAAAGTACCTCAAACTTGAGTAATCAAACCATCGATGGCACCTCTGCTATTTAGAGTCTCACCTTTGTTCGGCGTACGCCCGAAACTGCTTAAAAACCGTCCGAGCGCCAGCTGAAAATTTGACCAGCGCTCGCTGAAAGATAGTAATATCTACTGCGTGACGAAGGCGGTTGCCCAAATAGACTGAAGGTTGTCGCGCACGCGGCGCGCGGGCAATTGTCAGCCACGGAGCGTGCACACGCTCGCTCAGCGGTCATCCACGGAGCGCGGCGGCACGATAGCCAGCCGCTGACCGAGCGTGCGCGCGCTACATGGCTGACAATTGCCCGCGCGCTGCGTGCGCGACAACCTTCAGTCTATTTGGGCAACCGCCTTCGTCACGCAGTAGATATTATATGACGAGCGCCTGCAGAAAATTCTGTGTTGCTACCCGCTGGCAGAACATTAGACAGTAAAGGAAGTACCGCTCGCTGGAGTTTTGGCCACGCCCCAAAATTCTGCTGACCGCTTGCAGAAAAGCGCGAGTTTGCGGACAGCCTGCCCCCGGCAATCATCTGAGCAGTTGTTGTCAGGTTCAAAAAAATAGCCCACTTTTTTGTGACTTACACCAGAAGTTCGTTTAGCGAAATGGCCTTTTCAAATGCGTCTTACGGGACTTATCATTGAAGTGTCGGGTGCACCAGCATCTCCGCTCTCGCGCGGGACTCTGCACCTCTTCCGCAAACATGCTTTTCGATCATTTGCAGCCGAATGAGGTTCCGTCTTTGCCACGCTCCCGGTGGGAAAGTGATCAGAGAGAATGTTCGCGAAAGAGGCACGACACTGCAGTTGATAAGCCCTATACATCGCTTTGAAAAGCATCGATTGCTGATTCCAAATTTGTTTTCGTAGCAAGCGCCTTTGTGCGCCGAGTGATGAGCAATTTCTTGGGTGGAAAATTAAATGCGCAGCTGAGACAGAATTGTCCAAAAGTGCTCAAATAGTCCAGCACTGCGTTCAGTAGATATTTTCTGTCCGATACAATCATACTGGACACGTTATTATGAGAGCTGAAAAGGCTTAACACGTTGACGACCTTGTGTATCCGCATGTATGCACGCCCTGACTCCCGTTTAGCTTTTCGTGCATCCGCGCGTATGCACGGTAGTTTTTTAGGTGCAAACGAAAAGTTTTAAGGTAAATTCTGTGCAGCAATACTACTAGTGGCCTGATTGTCTTGACACAGGGCATTGCGACAGCTGTTCAGAAGTTTTCGCCGCAAAACTGGGTTATCAATCCGTTTTTGATGTAGTCAATACATGCTAATTACGTTTTTCCGAGACAATGAAAACTCTGCATAGCTGTTTTGAAATCAAACAAGGATGAATCAGGCAAAAAACACCTGGTATTACAACGCTTTTCTCGAAGAGGGATCCCTCAGATATTGCATGGTTTATTGGAGGGAAAATCGATGCAAAAACCTTGATTTGTGTAAGTCCTGGTAAGGCTCTGTGATATACTTGTATGTCTGAACAAAGTTCGCATGTTTTATGAATAACTGTCAAAAAGACTCTTACTGTCTTAGTGGTTCGTAGGCTCTACTGTGGCCTTAGGCGAAATAGCGCCTGGTAGAGTGTGTTATATAGAACACATTAGCTGTAGAGCTTTATTGAGACAGGCGACCTGCACACGTTGGTGCTGTGGTAGAATGCTGACATGAATAAACGTTGCAAAGTTACTCGACAATGTCTGGGCAATAAAGATACATATATCACAGCAGGTCATGCTCAAGCATGACCTTTACGGTACTCTGGCAACAGAAGATAGGCTACAAAGAGAGGTGCCGATTAGATCGGCACACTCCGGCCAGCCAAAGGAACGAAAAAGGAAAGTTAGCAACATATCATCAAAAGCATTCCATCATCTGATAACTGTTAACGGCGCCATTTATCCGGGTACCGTAGTGGACGTTGCTCCAGCGCTAGACGTTTGAAGTAGGAACTCTGATAGGCGTTGACGATAGGGCAGCTGCTCTGTCATGTAAAAGTTGATCGAGTAACATCTGGATGCTGATAGATTGTACACTCATTTCTTTTGAAGATGATATAGAATAATGATCCAGCATCATCTGAGTTTCTTTGATTTCTTTCTTTGCAGTTGAAGTTTAGATTAGGTGAACGTCTCTCGTTCACCTAATCTAAACTTGTTGTTATCGTCCATAGCGTTTGCCTGAGGCACAAATCCAGTGACCTGAGTCAAGGTCACCCTCCCCTCTGCAGCAGCTTGTTGATTGCCACTGATGTTTCCATCCTCAAACCTGCACTCGCTGACAACATTTTTACTTCTTTGATTCTTATCATCTTTGAACGTTCCATGACTGCTGTATTTGTCTTCTGAAGTAGTTACAAGTCGATGATGTCTATACAGAGTTTGTCCAATGCTGCCAGGACTTGATGTGGCGAACTTTCTCCTGCGTTGTATTGCTGCCAATTCTATCTCAATATCCGTCGTTAGCATTTGTAATTCAAAAACAAACACCTGAGCATTGCCAATTGTTTGGAAAAATCTTATCTGTTCTTTAAGTGTGTCCAACTTCTTTGCCATGACTATTCGCATCATTTTGGAGCTTTCCTTGTAGAGCATATTCATGATGTCGATTTTCGATTGTAGCTCTTGTTTGCCTGCTCTGACTTCCTCGATGCAGATCGGTATTAGGTCCAGTGTGAGCAGATCTTTTGCCGCTCTCGTTCATCATCTGGAAGAATAATTTCCCCACCATAGTACTCGTATCTCTGCAGTATTTCCGCGAGCTTATTGGTATATGTCCTTAGATCGTTTATGATAAGTTGGAGACTTGTGTAGCTCCTTGGTAGTATCCGCTGTCCTCCTTGGAAGAGCATGGTATCGGTCGTGTTTGGCCGATGCACCAGAAATATTAGGCTGACGTACGTCGACGTAGCCTGGCGTAGTTGTCGCCTTGGAAGTACTATCTGCAGGTGTGGACAATACACTAGCCTGGCAGATTTATTGAGACAGCAGACATGCTCTCATGGGAGCAGTGGTAGAATGCTCGCCTGCCACGCGGGCGGCCCGGGTTCGATTCCCGGCCGATGCACCAGAAATACTAGGCTGACGTACGTCGACGTAGCCTGGCGTAGTTGTCGCCTTGGTAGTACTATCTGCAGGTGTGGACAATACACTAGCCTGGCAGATTTATTGAGACAGTCGACATGCTCTCATGGGAGCAGTGGTAGAATGCTGACATAAACAGGCGTGGCACAGTTACTCGACAATGTCTGGGCAATAAAGATACATATATCACAGCAGGTCATGCTCAAGCATGACCTTTACGGTACTCTGGCAACAGAAGATAGGCTACAAAGAGAGGTGCCGATTAGATCGGCACACTTAGATACATAATGTTTCCGTGCATCCGCGCGTATACACGGGCCAAATGCTTGAAGGACGTTAGTGGGAGTTTCGCCCAAAATGGCGCGGTCGTCAACGTGTTAATAATCAATTATGCACGAATTTTGCGTTTATTTTCCGCTTCAATGATCACTCATAAGTCGACGTCCAGAGGCGCTTGGCAAATAATGAAACATATGAATCGGCCTTCAATGTTATTATCAGTGTAGGACTCGCTGGGGAAGGCCACTTCAACTGAACGGATTCTTTGTTAGCTTTTTCGTAGCAAAATATTCCCACTCAAAATATCACGTATATAGGATGTCGTATAATCCCCTACATCAAGTTCCATTCAAATCTGCAGCAATTTCTTTTATTATACTTCCCCATCCAAAAATTGCCTTACCGTAACTCTCAAATGCGATGATGGAATTCGGTAGAAATGATTGCAATCGTTGCTCACGTGTCGCTACACTCAAAAAGACAAAAGTTATGAGAAAAAGTTACAAAACTTATGTGCCAACCTAATGTACTAAAATCAGCTTCAAGTGTAAATTGTGAAGATTTATCAGTGTTTGGAGCTGTTGCGTACTTCACGACCTCGCAAAGGCAAGGCTTTTGGAAAAATACTCTGACAAATACTGAAAAGCTAATTGAAGGGGCTAAAATAATGTAATGGTTCGTATTTCATTGTTTATTCTATCCAACTGCTACCAAAGGCGGTCCAGAAGTTGGAAATAAAAATTTCAAAAAAAAAGCCAAACTCAAGATAGGTAATATCATAGGCTGGAGATTCTGGCGATTATTTGAGCGGAGATCAAAGTAATCTAAATGAAAACATAAACATTAGGGAACAAATTCTGCATTGATTACTGTTTAGAATGTTCGTCTATCATTGTTCTAAGTGGTTTGGAACAAGGGTCTGAAAAACGGCACGAGTTTTCGGAACGATCCAATATTTCGCGACGTAGATTTTCTTTATTATAGACAAGTAGCTGGCATGCCCGGCTTCCCCCGCACGGAGAACTTAACTGGTTCAACAAAGAGCAAGATTTGCGCACAACTTTCAAGGTTCATCACTCGTTTCGGCTTGTGCCTCCTTATCGCATCTTGAACTACCGCATCTCACTATCGTTAAATGGAAATATGTCCTATCGCTATTATTTACAAAAGTTGGATGTGGCTTGACAAGAGTTGATAAGAGTTCATTTTTATCAGAATCGATAAATCAATAGAGGGTGTGAGAATTTCGCTGCGAAGTAGTCTACGGGGGGGGGGGGGGGGGGAGGGTGGTAGCGGTCGAAAACATATGTATGTGTGCGAAATTTCGCGCTGATTGGTCCGCACACAAAAGTTTCCATAAAGAACACACCAACTAATAATTTACCAAACCTCAGCTTGATATATGCCTAGTAGGCAAGATTATCAAATGCAAGAAAAATCTCGTGAGGGCTACAATGAAGGAAACAGAGAGATATAGGTATGTATTCACCAGTTCAAAGCGCCGCCAAGCGGCGCTTTGAACTGATTTGTATATAAAGCTGAGTGTTGGTAAATTGTTAGTTAGTGTTTCTTTATGGAAATTTTTGTGTGGGAACCAATCGGCGCCAAACTTTGCACACATATGTTTTCGACACCGGTCCATCCCTAGGGTAGTTTTCGCAGCGAAGTTCCCACTCTTTCTATCGATTTATCGATTTTGAACAAAAATGAACTTTCAACGACTGATATCAAAGCGCTTCCAACTTTCCTAAAAACAATAGTCGTAGAACTCATTTTCATTCCACAATGTGGAAGGGCGGTGAAAGCGATATGCTCAGGAGCAGTGGCGTACCCAGGACTTCAATTCGGAGGGGGCTGCGGCGACAAAAAAATTTTCCGATGAAAGTGCGTGGCGTAAGCCACGCACTCCGAAAATTTTTTTGGTACGCTCCCTGAAATTTTCGCGGGCTCAGAATCCCGACATTTCAGAAAAAGGGGTTTTTTACAAGGCTAAAATGAATTTTTTACAAATCTTAAAAATTATCTTAATCATTTACAAGTGCAGACAAGTCATTTGCACAATATAACCCGTGTAAGTAACTTTCAAAAATTTCGCGACCCGCTCTTGGGGGGGGGGAGAGCTATCTATGTGCCCTGCATCGCAGGAGTAAAAGAAAATCGAAAGTTGAGCCTTTATGAGCACCAAATTTGCTCTTTGCTGAGCCAGTTGAAAACGCGATGCGGAAGTGCAGTGGAAAGCGTTTGGCTTAAACTACCGGGTTCAAATAACTTAAGTGCCCATCGCTTTTGCGTTTTAACGGCGATATCGCCAATTTTCTCCTTATTGTGTTTCGAAACACATTTTTGCGGTAGTGATAATGCTTAATCATTCGTATTCGTGTGTAGACAGTTCAAAACTTTTAGATCCAAGGCCCTCAACTTTTCCACAGAGTCGTTTCGCAGATTTGGAAAGCGGATATGTTATCAACGTTCCGAAGGTACCGACATGAGTTTAATTTGCTGAACTCCAGTGCGACACGGCATCCTTTATTACTCGAGAATCGACTGTTAGGTCGTGCAATTATGAACTTCGAGCACATCACGAAATCAAATTCAACTAGGAAATGTTGAACCTTCTACGAAAGAAGAAGGAAGTTGTGAAACGTTGTTGATAATAGTTGCCATGGAGTTTAAGCGTAGTGTGAGCTTTCTCGTTCTTTTTTTCAAACGCATAAGCGTTTGCGAAAGCTCTTTGATGGTAAATAGAGCAAGGGGCGAAATTCATCTGAACCTTAGATGATTGAATGAAATTTCATCGTTCTGGTTGACAACATATATATTCTTCTGCAGCCTATCACAAGATTATGAGCAAAGTTTCACTCCAGCTAAGGTTTCGGCGTCGTCGTTGGCTACTAGTTCGGGCTCGTGCAACAAGGTCGCAACAGCGTTTGGGAAGTAATACTCGTTCAAGTTTCTGCTGCCATAGTTTCTCCGATTTTCTCTTGATTGAGATAAATGGATAAGAGCGTAGAAAAACCGATTTATAAGCAGCGTTGCACCTTTACCGGGATAGGATTGAAATGGCAGAAAAGTCTGCTTTTTTCTGCTCATAGGAAATAAGAAAAGGATTAACCTAATTAAGACTGAGCACTATACAGTGTGAAAGAGCGATGTTTCCTTTGAGCAGCAACGTTCCCAACTTCCCCACGCAAATGGTAAATACTCACATTGATGAGCCTGCAAACATTACTCCCATTGAGTCTGCAGTGTCTGCAGTATTTCGCCGGAACATTTACTAGAAATTGTGCAAAAGTATGTGGAATAACGTGTGATGACGCCTCCGCTCCGTTTCTTCACTCGAAAGTCGTTCTCACAGTGAATGTTTCCATCAAAACTTTTTTGAGGGGGGAGGGATATGTAGATGATCTCTAGCTGCAAACATTCCCAACTGTCCGCTAGATTGGTTTTTTGTGCAGGTCATGTCATGATTTTTATTTGCTTGATTTAGGACTTCAGTTGTATAATGGCAGAAGAGTCCTCCAAGGCGACAACAACGCCTGTTGTATCAAGCGATGAGAAGAATTTTGTTGTTTCGTTCATTCAGTTTATTCGCCATAAGGTCTCAGCGAATCAGTGCACGGAGGATCAGATTGAAGCTCTAGAAGGTTTGATTCATAGCAGTTGGATTTGATTCATTTTTACCCAATGTAATTTCGCTTATATTGGCAGCTGATACATATGACCAGAAAACGTATAGGTGTTGCGTTGTCTACGTTGTTAAATTTATTGTTTTAAGAGGTCAACCATTATGCTGATTTGCAAATATTCAATTTCTTCAGCGGTGAATATTTCGCACACACCGTTTCTTGGAAATATATTTGCGCAGGGTTATATGATTATTTTACCATACGCTTTCCATGCTTTTTTGAGGATCACAGACACATTTTTTTGAACAAGTTGAAGTACGCATTAGGTAATATGAATGGTGATCTTTTTCAAGTAACCTTTTGATCTATTTCACGTGGTATTCTTAGAGAATTCTCGATTCATCCAAATATCTCGTTTCTCTCATTTTAGTCAAAGCGCATTCTGCCCTTTTACGTATAGTCTACGTGCTTTGTTGAATAAGCATCGAATTTTCAGTGGCTGTGCAATGTATGGAATCTGCATTCGGGCTCACTGATGCCAACTATGCTTTCCAGCCCTCCAAACCACTACTCGATGTTTTTATTGCTGCGGAAGGGCTCCCTTCAGTAGGTTTGAGTAACCTTAGGCCCTGGCCAGACTTCTCTCAAAAGCGCCCAAAAGCGCCCAAACTTCTCCAACCTCTCTTCACTCTCTCTCATCTCTCCTCACAGAAAGTGAAGAGACACCAGAGAAGTTTGGGCGCTTTTGGGCGCTTTTGAGCGAAGTCTGGCCAGGGTCTTATGGTTAGTTATGATCTCGAGCGTTCGTTTAGGGAGAAGACAAACTCCCGGAGCCGACTGAAGCCGAAATAGCGGAGGCCAACAAATTGAAGGAAGAGGTAGATCACGTTGTGCTTTTTTATCAACTTCTGCACTTTTTTGCGCAGTAACTCCCAATTATAACCTTTTTAGGGTAATGACTTGATGAAAGCTTCTCAGTTTGATGCTGCTGTCAGCAAATACAATGAAGCTATAAAACTGCATAGAGATCCCGTATATTTTTGTAACAGGTAGTTATCACCATGTGCTTTGTAATGGCATCGATTCGTTTATTTAGGGCAGCTGCATACTGTCGTCTAGAACAATATGATCTCGCTATACAGGACTGCCGAACTGCTTTAGCTCTCGATCCCAAATACAGCAAGGCTTATGGTCGAATGGGGTAGCATATAACTTTCGTTTACGATTATTGTTGCATGCAATGCTTCTACCCCCCCCCCCCCTCCCTTCCTTTCAAACAGATTTGTTGTAGTGAACTTGTAGGATTCAATGAAGGTCGTAACTGTTTGGGCTGTGGTGAGCTAAGTTTGTGACTTTTAGCTATTTTGAGAAAAGTGCAAGCTCAGAGCCATTGTCAGCGATACGAGGTGGTTGAAATTGTAATAGCGTCTCTTGCTGCGTGCAGTGTCGGTTTTATAACACGGTATCCTGCACTTTAAGAAAGTTGCTTGTGACAGCCCATTTTACTCATTGTCATTGTCATTTGGAGATAGTTGGGAGGAATTCAAAGCAGCGTCAAACTTGTAGATTCTAGATTTCTAGTCGTGCTATCTCTGCTAGTTTTAACCCTTATTTCTCTGCGGTGTTTGGGGGGAGGGGGGGAGTGGACTTGCGCAATCTTCAATTTGCATACTGCTACCACAAGACGTTGATAATCTCTTTTCAGGCTCGCGTTATCATGCCAGAACCGTTATGAGCAGGCTGTTGAAGCTTACAAGAAAGCTCTAGAACTTGATCCCAACCAGGAAAGCTTCAAAAACAATTTGAAGATAGCCGAAGAAAAAGTGAAGGAGATGGAGTCAGCGGCCCATGCTAGCGGGGTACCACCGGTGAGCTCAAATTGCATGCGTTACTTCCACACGATCAAGATGTGTTCAAGAACCCATTCGCCGCCATGTTTGGAGGCAATGCAGGGGGAGCTGGTTTACCACCTGGCATGGACTTCGCATCACTTTTCAATAATCCACAGATGCTCAACATGGCTCAGGTAAGGTTTATCCGTACTTGCAAGCCGCATTTATGATTCTTATTTTGGTTCAATCACAAATCATCACACGAAGGTTTCTCCACGTGGAAGAATCTTTCCGCTGTCAAAGTCGTTTTTATTTTGCGCTTATAAGCCCGTCGCTAGTCTTATCACGGCTTCATTCGGGTCTACAATCACATTCAGAGTCTAATGAATGACCCCAACATACAAAATATGATGGGACAGTTGATGTCAGGTGGTGCAGGCTTCGGCAATATTTTCCAAGCTGGTCAACAGGTCGGTGGTTTTGATTTAGCATAATTCAGATAGTTTTGATTTGTAATAGTTGAGGATATTGATGATCTTTTTGTTATTTTGTTAGCAAAACCAAACAATTACTTCAGCTCGCCCAACAAATGCAGCAGTCCAATCCTGAATTTGTCGAGCAGTTGAGGCGGCAGTTTGAAGATCATGGCCGGAGTAAGCGTTTTGTTTTTAATAATGTTTTGATTATATGGCTGTTAAAGGTAACAACGAGAACAATGAGGGCGGAAGTGAACATGACCAGAACCAGAATAACCAGCAAGACCGACAACAACAATAATGTCTCGGAGTTGCGTTTTATTGATTCGTTTTCAAGAAATCTTCCAAGTCTTTGCCTGACTGTTCCTATCTCTTCCTTTTGTTATATCACTAAACTGTTGATATTGGAGCTTGATGTCTCGTCATTTCATTGCTTCTGTTTATATAATCCATAGGATATTGTGATAAAAGACGTATAGAACGCATCATTTTATTGTAATACCGATACCATTCGGAACAAATAAATAAGGGATTTGATAAGCATATCGTATTGGAGAGACAGCATGGATCGAATCTTTTTATTGCAACACCGAAATTTTCGGAAAAAATAAATAACGGAATTGATGAGGATATTCTGTTGAAGAGAGGACACGGCCCATCACAATTGTTCGGGGTGTAAGCAAAATATCACAGTTGAAGACTGAAAAGGAGTAAATACTATGAGAGCAAAAGTGGATGCTAGTGCAAGTGTTGTGGTGTCCCGTAATTAATTCAGCAGATGACTTTCTGTATACATGAATCCCTGAGAAACTGAAGTGCTTTGTCGGTGAATTTTGGTCGACCTGAAATAGAATTGTAAAAGTTCACGTTGAAAATTTCACGAGATATGCATTTCCGGAAATATATGCTCAGTGAAGCATAGGCCATACTTGATCCCATCCGCTTGATCCACTAATCCACTTCGCTATTGGTCAAAACGCAACATTGACCAATAGCGAAGTGGATCAAGCGGAAATCTCTTTCGCTACTAGTTTCACTGTTTTGACCACTAGCAAACTGGATCAAGCGGATAAAGTATGGCGTGTGCCCAACAGCTTACTAGAAGTCTCAATAGTCATAAAAATGGTTTAGTAGTAGTGTCCGTAACCGTGGCTGCATTAGACAACTTAAAAAGTAAAAAAAATAACACGATTTCTATCTGTGCGTCTCACCTGAGTAGTCAGCGTACGAGATCCACTCGAGATCGGGGCAGAATTGAGCGAGAATGTAGATAGACTTATCAGTGCAAGCAGTACCTCGGATACGAACTTCTCGCAATGGACAGCGCCTGGAGAGGGTATGTATGCTTTTAATGGATCAGTTCATTTAGATCTTTAACCTGGCTAAGGCAGCCATGCCCTTGTCGCTGACCCATCGACATCCGTTCAAGTTGATGCATCTTAGTTGCCTGCAGTTATCACCAAGAATAGCTAGGAAACGATCGTCAACCGACAGCATTTGAGAAGTTTCGAGATCCTGAAAAGTTCAATTCAGCCCCTAAGAGGATTCAAGAATTCAGGAAGATCCTACCAAAAGATTCCGAGCCCCTCGAGCTATAGCAAATAGCACTCTATAGGTGATCCTCATGCGACAAATCTTCAAAGAACGAAGACGTGATCCTTGCGATTTAGCGCCACCTGAACCTCTCTGACTTTTGGTTTTGATAACAGGGAGTGATTGTGAAGGGAAGTCACCTGCGAAGTAGCGCTGAAGGATGTGGGTGCTGAGATGATTAACATCAAGAGCGAGATGGGTGAGATTTGGAGTGCATTCGGTGATCAAACGTAGAGAATCGTCGAAGAGTCTTGGAGTGGCCACCTAGATAGAAAAAGCTATTTCATTGGTTCAAAAAAAAAACCGCATGTGCAATAATAGGGTATATGTAAGTGTTTACAGTTGATTCCGAAGTTACAGTTGCAAGGTTTCTTCTTATTACATAACGCAAAGCGCACTTATAGTCGTAAGGTATGTTTATACTTCAAGCGATCTCAGTCATAAGCCGATTTGGAATTGGAAAGTGTTCAAGTCATCGCATGCCGCTTTTACCTCAGCTATAAAAGCTATATGCCTATGCATGAATGTTGAGTCAGTTACATGACTTAGAAAAATATGCAACTGCCTTAATTATAATTGTAAATAACTAGGAATGATTTTTAGAATTCTTCAAAATTCGAATCAACATTGTAAAAAGAATCTCCTCCCTTATTCTGATATTTTGGAGTCAGGGGCTCGCAAAAATTCTGGGAAGCATGCCAAAAACTTTTTCGCAGTGCGTGGCTGGCCACGCACCCTTACCCAAAGGATTTTTTTGTCGCCTTCTTCCCCTCCATCTGAACGAAAATCTTGGGACCGCCACCGATACGCGCATATGGGGTACGGTATCATTCAGCTAATATCAATGATTTTCAAAGCAAAGCCCAACTTCTTGAGGAGGGTGGGTCAAGGTTAATAATGAAGTGTTTTGCAATTATAAAATTAAAAGGAACTTACTGTGAGGATCGTGATCTTGCTTCCAATATATGGCAAAATTGTGCTTAACAACGTATTTGCATTGTCGATGGCAGCCTGAAGAGAAAAATACACCTATAATTGCTGAACGAAACTCCCGGTTTTCTTAAAATTTTCAGGCCCTGTGACCTGGATGGTATTGAGATAAACAACACGGAAGAAAACGCACGATGCTAGCATCCCTTATGCTCAGTTGAAGGTTGATGTTCTTTAGATAAGGCTGAGCTTCCAGACTTTTCACCAATTCGAATGGATTCTCATCGCCATTAACTGACAAACGCAGTGAGTGCACAGTGGGGGGAAGCTCCGGTAAAATAGTGAAATAATTTCCTGAAAGTTATGAGCCATTCAAAAAGGTTTGATATTGTTTACTTTACTTACCGTATAGATCGATATCCCGCAAGTTGAAGCCATCAATCTTGAATTGCACTGGCAAGAAATCATCGTAGTTCTAAAGTTTTCACTTCAGAAAGTGCTAAGGCTCAGGAAACGTCCAACAGAATTCTTATCAAAACAAATCTCGAACAATAAATCTTCAAACAGCTGCCGTTTGCCTAATGCTCAATCCTAGGATGTCTGTCTTCATCACGTTCTCGTGACCTAAGGTTTTTCTTCCTGGTGTCAGCCTTGTGACTGAGTTCAGTTGAGTTCACGACACATGCTCACCTCGCTGAAAAATCGAGCCAACGAGAGCTGACACACATTTGGACACTGGGTTGAAAGATGCTGAAGTGCTGCGGCTGGATCAACGAGAGAAGGAAGGAAGTCGAGCTCGAGTACCTGAATGATACCAGATTTGTAGAAGTTCTAAAATTGTATCAGGCTGATCCGAAGTCTTGTACTTCTGTAAAATCGTAAATCTCTAGTATCAGCCTCGTTTGGTTTAATTTTTGAAAAGGGGGTCATGCACTTTTTAGATGTGCTCTAAGCAATCCTTGGCATACCACGCAAATACGAGCTGATAGATAGAGACAGTTAAAGGTTTTTTATAGCAGGCAATGGTTTTTCTTCTTTCCCAAAATGCTAGAAGGCACAACAAATCTTGATATTGTCTTATTTGTAGTTTTACAAATCACACTGTTCCGTTGAGAGGAATTCGCTTCGGAGTTATACTATTAAAGAATTCACCGTTGTGATTTTGTTCCTTAAAAGGTCCCCAAGCACAGTGAAGTATACACAATACTTATCGCAACATTCTCAGCACTTTCAAAAAAGATTTATGATTCTGGTGCAGGACTAATCGACCATTCTAACAGCATTGTTTAGTCAGTGAGCTCAGAATTTCTTTAGGGAGTGAACGTAGCTTTTCTTCCTCGAAGTTAAGCTTGGAAGTATTTGACAAAATGTGTGTTCGGATGTGCAAATGGTATTTTTTTAGCATTAAAAAGCCTCAAAATACAAATTTTCCATAAACTCACTCGTAATCGCTCTCCCACATAGTAGGCTATGTCGTATAGAGCTTGGTCATCAAGTGATCGACAATGATTGAGATATAAACAATGAATATTCGGGTTCCTTTGTACAAGAAATCGAATCCCTAGACTCGTTACCTGCAAGGAGATATAGTAATAAATCTTTTGCGCTTTGGGTCAATTTAGCCACAATACGAAATTTCGACAACTAAAGCTGTTTTGAGTTTGCTTAAAATTATTTGTTATGAAAATGTAGTGCTATAACCATAATGATTACTTACCAAAGCACAACCGCTGATATCCACCGTATGAAGATTTGGGCAATGAACTTCAGTAAGACCAGCATCAGTTAACTGATACATTGCTCGTAACTCGAGTTGCAGAAGATTTCTTTGACCTGATGTCACTGCACGAATACCCTAAAACTGCTCATTTCGCTGAATTCTGGAAAAAAAATCTCATTGCAAATTAATCAGTCAAGTAAACCGTCTACATGTGATGAAAGCTGCAATTTTGATCTATCGTGAGCGGTGCTATTGAAGCAGCTGCCCCCTTCGCGTTTTTTGAAACACATGTATGCTCAAATTTATGACATTGCCAATTTATCTCCATATAAAGGGTGTTTCAAACAAATGTCCCCATTGCTCGCTGTTTTCTATCTTTGCAACGATTTCTTTCGCCTGTTTTCAGAAACCTGTGAAGCTGGCTTCAACCTAGATTCATATGGTAGAGCGAATCAATCCCTCTTTGTTACTAGAATTACAGTAAGAACATTGAGAAGGTTTTTGCGACATAAAAAATCAGATACTTCCAGGAACGACTCCTAAAGAGCCCAAGACCTTGTCACCAAGTGAGTAATTACTGATCCCAAACAAATGTATTTTACGTTACCATAGTTTTTTTTTACTCAAAATCAAGCAAGGTAATGCTAAAGACATCTCCAAAATCCGTCAAAACCCCATTACCTAAACTTCTTTACAAGCCTAGACTAAGTTCAAAAATAATGTCCCTGAATCCCCATCACGTAAAGTTCCAAGTGTTTTGGTAATTTTGCAAAAATACGTTTGATTTCCAAGAACGCAAGATTAGACGTTACTACCTTGATTCTACAGTAACGAAAGGCGATAGGAGACCCACATACAATACCGCTCGAATTTTTTTGAAAAAAAGCGCACAGTCGTCTGATTCATGTAATCACTGCAGCGTGGCAATACCTCGCTTCAGAGTGGACAATTCTCAATCCAAGGCATCATTCGACTCAGCTCGGCGCGACGTATTTTCAGGTTTATAGGAGTGCCTGGACACAGTAGGGGCTAATTCCACAAAACGTTTCGGAGTCTTGTTTACGGTAGGTTACTCAGTGCCTTATTCATTGCACTCACCGGGCAAGCTAGCGTAAGCAGGAATCTGGAAGGATTCGTGGAATCTGGCCTCCTACTGTGTCAAAGCGGGCACTTCTATATGTCAGAAGATGCGATGCCGAGCTGAGTGGAATGGTGTTCTTGGATTAAGAATTCGTCCACTTTGGCGAGATATGGTCACGCTACGGTGATGTCACATGAATCGGGTGATTGTGCTCGTTTTCCAAAAAATACGAGCGGTATTGTACTGCAATTAAGTTGAAGCAGCTTTACAGGCTGGTACCTGAAGGGAAATGCGCAGGCGCGAAAGGAAGAATAGCTAGCCACTAATAATTTTCTTAGCAGAGTTTTCTTAGAGTTTGCTTAGCTGCAGCATTTTTGCTTTGTTCTGCCGTGGTCTCTTCTCTCCTCATCCTTCCCGCAAACGGTCGGCTAGCTCTTAGCTCTGACCTCTACCATCTACCAAGGATAGGACCAAGAACACAAGGTGGAAGAAACCGTGGCTGGTCCACTGCGTCCACTTGGTCGAGAAGTCATGGACAGCGCAACGTCACGAATGCACTGATTGGCACGAGCAAGAATATTCTTGTCAACGAAGACGATCGAAGTCGAAATCGCCCAACTCAAGCCATAAACGGAATCATCGCGGTACAAATATATATATATATATATATATATATATATATATATATATATATATATATATATATATAACTCAAAAATTGTCAGTTTGGAGGGTATGGTGTTATAGAAACGCGCGCCACTCAACCGATTCAGCTGAAACTTTGCACACATATGTTTACGACCCTTGCGCAGATGATAGGCTACTTTTTGCGGCGATTCGTTGGGTCATTCTATTGATTTATTGATTTGTTTACATTTTCCTAAGGAATTGAAGGGTTATCATGTTCACTCAAGCATTTTTCATACTCATGTAAAGGAGGGCGGTGAAGCTCATTTTCACCTCAGGAACACGAGGATGCGGTTTCCAAGCGGATGTCACGAGGTAAGTCATCCTACCATATAGGCGGGGGGGGGGGGGGCTCGCAGTGCAGTGAACCATGGCCCGGGCTGGACCGGGAAAGCCAACTAGTTGTATATAACGCTGAGGATGAATAAATATATGTATGTTATGTATTCTGCCGTGGTCATATGAGGCTAAAAATCTAATTCAGGCAGAACATCATAACCAGGGTAAAGCGGGGGGTGCGGCACGCCGCAAGGGGGGGTCGTAAGGGGGGGATAGGTAGGGGGGGGGTCGTATCGACCCAAAGACAAAAGCGGTTTCTAAGGGGAAATGACTGCAGCTAAGTTCTTAGACGTGCCACGCTGTTGAAATCCTGCAAAATTCAAGTTCAACGACACAAACTTGCAGATACCGTATGCCTACCGTAACCTACCGTACCTCTAATCAAGCATAATTGTCGTAATCCGCGTGTCGAATAACCCCTATGCGCCAAGTTTCAGCGAACTCTGAGGTCTCCGAGCAGTAAACAACCTTGTAGAAAGCAGTAATTTAAAACATGATTAACTTCATCTTAACGGTGAGTAAGCTACCTCTTCTTGCACTCAATACAAAGCACTACTCCTTCTTTGTCCACCTCAGGAATCCCGCTTCAGAAGACCTCCAAACTATTGAATTAGAAGCCAACCAAAATCGCTTTTAGCTTTTGATCGCTGTGCTTTCACCAAATATTACTCAGAGCTAAGAAGACGAATCAGGCTCAAAACATCCCTATGGAATCTATGAGGTTTAGGCTATTGATTCATATAAATGTTGTCCGCTAAAAATGTTTTTTTGATATAGTTAATGGCCTGCGGCACCCCCCCTCAAAACCTGCGGCTGCCGCAGGTTTTGAGGGGGGGGGGGTGCCGCAGGCCATTAACTTACCTTCAAATCGTTCAAACAGCTGCCTTTTTCATATCATCCTATAGATTCATCCTTCCTCTCTCCGTAGTAGCTGTTTCCCCTCGAACCTTTTTCTTTAGGAGGAAATACATATGGTTTTTGCGAACCATATGCTGGGAAGTGTGGCCAAAAAATATTGGGTTACGGTAGCGCTCGAAAGATTGTCAAAACACACAGAGGCGCGAGATACGCGCCTTTGAACCCCACTCTCGTTATGCGCTGTGATTCTCGCCTTTTTGTTCTTTTTCATCACTTGTTTCTCTCATTGTTCTTTCAGAAAACTTGGATGGATGGATGCGGATGCGGATGCGGCTTGGGCGTCACATAGCATGGCCTACGGGAGCTGATGGACGAGATGGATGTTTCAAAGTCGGCACTCGCTTCCGTGTCTAAGTCAGATTTAGGTGGAAGTGTACGTTAGCAAGTTGACTGTGTCGCAGTGGAATCGTGAGAGTGAGTTGCCTGATATATTCACATGCTCTAATGCGCACTTGGACAGGTGTTAAACAGTGCATCTTGTAGGCAACCGGGTTGTCGATGTATATGCAACCCGTTCTGGCAGCTGATTGTATCAAAAGTGTCCAAGCAAGATGTATGACCAAATTTGGACCAGGAAGCAGTCTGCTAGAATCACTTGACAATGGGAACGAAATGGTCCGAATGTGTCCTACAAGGCACCTAGATTGGAGACAAAGTTTCTTACTTAAGACGAGGAGCTTTTAGGTGCATCTTGAGGTCAGCATCTTCCTATTGATTTTTCCAATATTTTTGCACTTTGTTCGATTTGCTATATTTGCTATGCTCTTCAGCGTGGACTTATCTGCTGAACAAGACGTCTTTGAAGCGGCACTTAGCTCGCCTAAAGGAAGTGTGCACTTTGTGCGCCCAAATGCCAGGCTGTACCGGAACACCAACCATTCTGTCTGCATGCCTTTTATCTACAGAACCCGAGCCGTATCTGAGAATGTTCCCCGGAATGCTTCTATTGACGCATATAGGTTTGTACCTATTCTTAACTATTCTTAGAAAATGTAATGATCATTCTTTTTCAGCAAAAAATCTCGATCGGCTGGAGCGGATGATACCACTATCACTCACATTATGGTATTTCCAACCAGTGCAGGCATTCAGGTAGACTTTCATTTTCAATTAGCTGTGGAACTTTTGGTCTTAGCCTTGTTACTGTAAATACATGATTGCTACCATTTTCATCATAAATGAGTACTTTTCCAGCTTGGTGCTGCTGAGCAACATGCTGGCGGTGATGACGAGTGGGATATGGACCTTGTTATGGATACCTTGATATGGATATCATTCCCACAAGATGGGAATGATATCAATGACGAGTTCATGCTAGTTTGTTTAAGGTGGGACATACTTTAAACTTGTATTTTCCTTATGTTTTCTGCTTTTGAGAGATTATCTTGTGCGTTTAGTGCGCCTTATTCTGATGATGAGCGCAGATGTATCTCTTGAGAAATACCTTAAAATTTTCAAGTCTTAGGGAACGGCCATAGGTTGTCGGTGTTCGCGGTGTTGTCAGTGTTGTCGGAGCGCCGATGTTGCCGGTCGTTGTACCTCATGATAGCCTCCAAGTTTCGCTCGCTCTCTAAACTGTCTCTGAACCCGACAACCCCGACAACGTCGACAACACCGACTACCTGTGGCCGTTCCTCAGGTAAAATCCTGTTGGAGAGTCCACCTTGCGAGAGATTTTCATCAAGACTGACAATTACATACAGGGAAAGTGCTTCGCAGAAGTTTTGAAGGTAAGTGCAATGATGTAGAAAATTTGGTAGGTTCAAAATTCCTTATAGGAGATACTGAAACACGGAATGTTGAAGGTAACACCTACCATTCGTTCTCTACCAGCATCGTTTGGATTTGGCTGTTTTGTAGCGAAAAATGGAAGTGGACGTAGGTTCATTTCATTCTATAATTGTTGGTGCTGTAGGGGCTTGATGCTTCTTTACAGATCTCAACAAGGCCATACCTCTTCAACACATATGGGATGTTGTGCTGTTCTTTTACGGTTCGAAAAGCGGACGAGAATTAGAAGATGCACCAGTTAGGAAACTGAGTCAGTCCTTCAAGTTGGAAAATGTGGCTGGTAAAAGCATAACTTCGAAACAGGTGAACTATTCATTTTTCATTTTTATGCACACTGGTTATTTAGCTTTTTGCTAGTATTCTTTGAGTAAGGAGCGTTATTTATATTATTTTTCTTTTCGTAATATTATTGTTCCTTTCGTGATTGCTTTTTATATCTTTTTGGTCTGTGCTTGATTTTGAGCCTCCAAGTCTGTCATAAATCGCTGTACTCTCCTATTTTTATCTTCGTCGAGAAACTTAAAGGCAGCGTGCATGCAAATCTGGGCCTATGGAGATCTCACTTGGAGGGTGATGGAGGTCTAATCAAAACACTGCCCAAGCGGCAGCTCAAATGGTGAGCTCACAGTTGAGATATTCGCCTCCCCGGACCTCGGGATCGTATTCGCATGGATTCATGGCGCGACGCATCAGTTTCGCGCGAGGACCGAGCGTGTCGCGCCATGAATCCATGCGAACGATTTCGGGGTCCAGTTTGGAGGCGAATATCTCAACTTTGAGTTCACCATTTGATCTACCGCTCGGGCAGTGTCTTAGTTAGGGCCCCAAAATTACTTTCCACGTAAGAAACCCGTATGTCTCGATTTGCCTGGACGCTGTCTTTAAGATTTTTGTAGTGATACTTCTTTTTTATCCTCAAATGAAGTATGTTTACAGATTTTGCTGACTACAATAGAGAACATTGTGTCATCGCACGCACGTCTGCGTCGATCCAAAGATGCTCAATGGAAAGCGTTTGTATCTGCTGCCATGAACGAGAAGAAACTTCCTGCATGGCTTCGGTAAGTATTGTAAAGGGAATCTTCCGCATAGCGCGGTGAGTTTCAATGTCATTAATGTGCGGGAAATAGTAAGGCGTACAGACAGTGGGGCCAGTGCGAGCCTCTGCCAAGCAGAGGTGACGCACTGGTCTGCACATAATCCGAAGCTCAAGAGCTAGCTTGGGAGTTCGGGAGGGAGGAGGGGGGGGGGGTCGTGCCGAGGTCCGGCCCAAGGGGGGGGTCGTATCCGGCGGTCGCGTGCCGCACCCCCCGCTTTACCCTGATCATAACTTTACTACTCCCCTCCCGTACCATCTTTGACTCTGGTTTCATAATGCAGATGTTCTCCCCTGACTCAGTGTAATTCAAAGTCGGCTGTTCAGCTAATCGCGTGACATCATAAAGCACCTAACAACTGTCAGCCTAGCACATAGAAACACATATGCTGCATCAAAAAAAGCTTCCAGAGTTTTCAAGAAAAAAGTTCTTTGTGCAAACCTTATCAGTGACTTTGGGGCATTCGACAAGCGTGATCCTTTCAAGTCGTTTATTATTGGCAGTGAGTGCGGTGAGCATCGAATCGGAGAGATCCTCACTGAGGTAGAACTTCAGCTCGGTGAGGTTATCGGCGAAAGACGGCGAAGAGACGAGTCGGTCGCAATCCAAGGTGGATAGCTAAAGGTTATAGGCAAAGTGAAGGTAACCAGGTTGAATGGAAGAAGGTTGCTGACCTGATCATGGTTGGTGAAGAACTCCAACAGTTTCTGCTTGCATTCGATTGGGATCAACGCCAAGTGATCGTTGAGTTGATGCTGGCAGACGGCCGATAAACAGATGTTGAAGAGAGATTTTACCATCGTTCGAGGATATAGAGAAGTAGACTGAGAGAAAGTACAGAACCGAGTTATGAAATAGGAACTAATGACTGCCTGGATCAGTGCAGCATCACGATAGGGCGGTAACCTGGAAAAAGAATTTCGATGAAGAGTTACCATCAAGGAAATAGGCATTGCTCATAGAAGGAGATCAATTCTAATCAAAGGCACTTCGAAATTTAGGAGAGGACAGTCTCAGATGAAGACATGACTATCAATGACGCCTGACCACCGTCAGTCAAGTCAGCCAGCTTCTCGTTCAGCATTACTGCTGAGTCTTCTCACGTGAACGAGTCGCATCTAAGCTATACTTTATGTCACGTTGCAAGCTCTGCTCTCGCCAAGATTTCATGGACTGAGTTTTACCTCAAAAATGATAGATCCTTAGACCTTAGGAGCTCGAAAAATCTCAATTTTTACGTATGGGCAAAAAAATCTCCAAAAACCGAACAGGAATATAAAATACACCTTTTTGCAGGTCAATACGTATTGTACATAATATGTGGACGTAAATAGGAACGGAAAGTGATTGTCAGTCGAGAAAAGTTCAAAGGAAAAAAATCACCTAGCTAATTGCTTTATTTTCGTATAAGAACACCTATGATAATTTGCGGATTGATATCTACGACAAATACTTAACTACTTATTCTAGTTTTTCTATTTCTGTGTTTGTATTCTAAGACCTCATCCTCTTTTTCCTTATCAAAAAGCGTTCTCATAAGTTTTTACATATTTCCTTAGTTTTCTCCAATTTTAGTTATCATTCTATATGACTGAATAACCTGAATTTGACAAATTTGGATTTCTCATCCGCCATTTACGAAATAAAAGTTTTCGGTTACGCTCAAGATTCATAAGATCGTGAAACCACCACTTCAAAACAACATGCACTTAAAGTCCAACGCTCACAGTTTAATGTCCCAAATCCAGGTTCAAAAGCACTTGAAAGTTTATATTACAGCTGAATTAATTTTGTGCAAGTGTTGTAAACATCAACATGGGGCCCTTAGAGCACAGGCGATCTCCGAGCATTGGCCAAATGTTTGACAAACCCGAGAACAAGTGCTGAAATGCCGAACAGTGATTGAGTGAATAGCGTATGGTTGAAAATAAAACAGATACAGAAAGTGGCAAGAAGGTGAGGTTATTCAAGACACGATAAATTTAAAAATCGCAGTAGATCGTCAGATAGGAACGAAACAAGGCCCACCCATTAATATGAACAGTCATCTGAGCAACTATACCCTCTGATTCAACAGGATTGGCTGCTGGAGGACGGGGCTGTAGAGTCTGCACCTCTTTCGTGAGCGCAAGAGGTGAAGAAGCAGAAAGAGTCTGCACCTTTCTTATAACGAGCGTGGGAAAGGCGGAGCTTCAGTCACTAGAGAGCATGATCGCAAAAGAGGTGAAGAACCCGGCGAGGCGGCCGCGAAGACATGAGCCCCACCCGCCAGCCGCCATTCCTGTTGAATCAGAGGGTACGCCTCATTACCTTGAAACCTGGTCTTTTTCGTTGACAGACAATTTGATTTTGAATTAAACTATTTTAGACTATCACAGTGGTTTATACTATATGATTTTATTATTTTCTATTATTTTTGTTGGAGCCAAAACGTAAAGCGATAATAAAGTCATACTATATGATTTTATTATTTTCTATTATTTTTGTTAGAGCCAAAACGTAAAGCGATAATAAGGTGTGTCACACAACGACCTGTACTGCATAAAGACATCGCACAAATTTCTGCGATGTTTAAATGGCTTTAGTTCACTTAGTTTTTTTCAAAGAAAGCATGGCTGAAATTCTGTGCTTTGAGCGAAAAGCGTCGAGTGAGAGAAGAACTCATGTGGAAGTCAGCAAAACTCCTGAAATCCACAGCCAAAACACATTATTACTAAAGACTGACCACTATATTCGCACAAAATCCGGAATGTCACAACAGCAGTCGTAGTGATCCTCTTCCTTGATGTCTACGACCATTGTTTTTGTTTTCATTGCTAGTAATTGTTGACTCGGGAAGCAGTTCACGACCGAGGCATCCCGTGCTTTTGGGTGGCTGCGACCGTCACGGGTTAGCACGACCCGACTACTGTAGCCTGCTCGTTACTCAGTGCTGGCAATAAAGAGTGAACTGATGTGGAAAGCTAAGCCGTTTACAGCCTCGGGGTCATTCCATACTGATGGTTGGGAAGAAGCATAGACTTGCCGCTGTTCCAAAAATAATTTGTTTAGTAATGCATAGACAAATTTTGATCGTAAGATATTTTTTACTGCACACGGTATAACCTTTGATTCAACTGGCTTGGCGGCTGGAAGGCGGAGCTTTGTGACCTAATTAAGGCCGCTCGCGCCCGCGACGCAGTCTGCATTCTCTACCGCACGTATACACCCTGATCACTATCAGCCTAAATTAGGTCAGAAAGCCCCTGCCTTCCGGCCGCCAAGCCGGTTGAATCAAAGGGTATTTGGTGTTGTATAACTCTATTATGAATAAAATCAAAATTCAAAAAAAATTTTGAAATTCGCAACTTTTAGCAGAGAGATCCAGTTAGCATAAACTCATCACAAAAAATGATAGGTCATAAGACTCAAACTAAAAGTGAAATTAGTGGTCGGACTTTTTAGCATTCCTAATGACCAAAAATCGAAAACGAAAATTTGAGAGTTTGTATCTTGTAACTACATGATAACAACAATTTTGTCTAGAGTGCTAATAAAAACCGTATGATTTTCTCACTCAATCTCATAATATACCCAAGAGGTCCACTGAATGTGGACATGAGGATTTTTCACAATTTTCCTGCAAGCCTTGTGTTCCAACCAAATATCTCCGTAAAGTCTTCTCCAAAGCTCAATAGCTAGAAAAGTGACTGCAACTTATGAAAACAGCCGCTAGCGTTTCAGCAGACACAGCGAACAAGCACGAGACCCATCAACAACAGACATAGAACATCGAAGTCTTGCATCAAAAGTGGTACTTTGATTCTTTAGATCTGAGAGAGCAGTGGACAAAGTTTGAGAATGCACAGCGAAGGTGACAGTGCACTCAGAATTGCTAAAGCTGAGTATAAAAATTGGAGCGCTGAAGCACAAAGAGAACTAGATTTCCGAGAAGAAGCACTGGAAAGAGCGTCTTACTACTTGAAGTTCTTTTACATCCAGAATTTAAGTCCGCTGAACTTAACATTTGTGCTTAGTTTGTGTACTATTCAACAATAACGGACATATGTTGAGGAAGAGGGAAGCTGAGGGAGGGAATGGGTGGGGAAGTGCACGGGCAAGCTCTGAACTGTTGGAAGTCATCTTTCTTAGGGCCGCATGCACTAACATGGCCGCGGGGAGGGGATCGCAGCTTAAAAGAAAGCTTCATATTTCGAAATTCCAGATACCTGGATTTCACGCTGTGTACCTATCCGTAAGTATTCCTACTATCCTTCACTATGAACATGTTGAACAGGAGCGATAAGCTGTACAAACCGCATTTTCCAGCTTCTGTATGATCCTTGATGATCCCCGGCGCTTTTCTTTAGAGTCATTTTTCTTTCTCCGAAGTTAACGCAAAACTTCCAAAGTTGTGCAGATTATCTAACCCAACAGTGCTAAGCATGTTGCTGATAAGAACAAATGATGTTTTGAAGTCATGAAACTTTCGATGATCCACAGATCGAAATTTACGGTATACCGAAAAATTCAATTTTTCAAAAATTCATTTGTTCTCATCAGCAACATGCTTAGCACTGTTGTGTTAGATGTTCAGTATAACTTTGGAAGGTTTTCGTTAATTTCGGAGAAAGAAAAATGAATTTGAAGAATAGATGTTCGTCCCCCAGGGATCATCAGGGGATCCTACAAAAAGCTGGAACATAAGGCTTGTACAGCTTCTCGCTTCTGCTCAATATGTTCATAGTGAAGGATGGTGGGAGCGCTTACGGACAGGTAGACAGCGTGAAATCCAGATATCCGGAGCTTCAGGGCTGCGATCCCCTCCCCAGCGGAAATGTTAATGCATGCGGCCCTTAGTCTGAACCAGTTTTACCCACCAGTTTCACCAGTACTCACATTTCATTCATTTTACTTATTTCCGAGCAGGGCTCGGCACGAGGTGGCTTACAAGCAAGCTGGATATCGTTTTTGGGACGAAAAAAGGGGTTTCGTTTTTGTGACCGAAGAGACACGGAAAATTGGCGACGGCGACCTTTTTTTTAGTCGACGTTTCGTTTTTTGGGGGAATTTTTCAGGTTTTTAGAGGAAATTTGGTTGAGGGTCAAAGGGGACTTCGTAAAAATTCCCAAAAGTCAAGGGGGACTTCGTTTTTTCCATTTTCATCTAGCCACCTCGTGCCGAGCCCTGTTTCCGAGCACATACGTGATGTCTTTGCTTCAATATGCAAACACAGGCAAGTCCACTCTTACTACTCCTCAGCTTGAACGTGAAAATATACGAATGGGGTAAACCCATGCGATACCTACATAGTTGTTTTGTTGGTTCGTCGGCAAATGGGAAGCTGTGGGTTTTCTTCGACCGTCACGAAAAGGAAGACCAAAATTTGGAATCAGAGGGTGTGGAAGATAGAAACAAGATACTAATCGATAGCTAGAGGAGCGTTAAGATTTGCTGTAAATACCGAAAGTTCTCACAATTTTTCGGAGAGGAATACTTCTACCACGTGGGGGCTCAAAAATGCCAGTAAATTCAACTGGAAAAAGAAGAAAACTCGTTTTTAGTGCCAGTTCTCTTCTTCTCTCAGACTGAAGGCCTGACCAAGCCCTCTATCCTCCAGTAAGCAAAGTACCAGAGATCTAGAGGATCGAGGCATACATAACTACACAAAATGAGCCTCTTGGATTAGAAACGTTTGGAGTTTGGCGTATTAGTCATGCTCCCACAGAGTATTGAAGATGTCAAATCTTTCACTGTTAGGTTATGTGACCACACAAGCTAACTGCACAGATAATGTGCGTCAAAGTTTTTCTTGAAGACTTTATGGGCATTACAAATCTTCGTTTCGCAGCTAATTGCTTTGCAAGGATGAAGCGAGGTCTCATAGGTTGATATGACTGATATGAATCAAAGATCGAACAGATGCTCAGAAGTCGAAAATTTGA